TTCAAAAACCAAGTCAAACACTCACATTCCTCATTATGGACGGGATTGCACTTCTTTTGGTTGGCTTTCCATGTTCTTAACCTTTTCATTTGCTTGCCTTTTAATTTATTTAAGTTATGACTTTTCATTTGCAAGCCTTTTCATTTCTTGTAGGTTATGTCTTTACATTTACATGTCATGTCATTTCTTTTAAGTCATGAGTATTTCCATTTTCTTAAGACCTTTCATATGGCTTGCTAGGATGGCTATATATAGCCTTGAGATGTCTTGTTGTAAACACAATTTGAAGTTTAATGAAAATGAGTTTTTTCATTAGCTTGGTTTAGAGCTTTATCTCCCATTWCTTGTGCAATTTCTTGTGTCTTTAGAATTTGCATGTTAGGATCATTCAAGYGATGTTGATCATACCTCTTGTGGAGTGATTCGAATCACGAGTTTAGAAACGAGTTTTCTCTACTCTTGATATTGATCATCAAGGTAATCCGTTCTTAAGCTTTTCCTCGGGTTGATTCCATACTTGTTTTTAGGATTTTTGGGATTGAGTTCTATGGGTCTTGTTCGTTAGCAAGGTTCTAAGATTCAACTCTCAAGGGTTTCTTAACATTTCTTTTATATTTTTATGTCAGCCTTTTTTAAAAATGTTTTATTAGGGTTTGTTTTAAAAGCTCTTAAACCCTAGGTTTTAGATTAAAGGTTTTATTAGAGCATACGACGACTAGATCTAGTTTTCTCTCCAGAGAAAAAAAAAGAAAATAAGAAGGAAGGATTTTGATACTTTCTCAAAAAAAACAATAGGTTCTCTTTCCTAATGTTTTTTGTTTTCTTTTTCTTGATTGATAAGTACCRATTATGGTCACCCARCCAAAGATTGCTCCAAGTCAAGCACGCTTAACTTTGGAGTTCTTACGATTGAGTTACCGAAAAGAAGGGTGCACYTTGTTAGTAAAGGTATTGACGATCAATTCTTTTAAGTCTTTTTTTACCATTCTTCCATGATCTCAGGATCCCTCTCTGTGGTATCGGTTCATTCATGTACCCCTCCTTTCTACTCGAGCGTCACATGAATCTGGATTCCGAATCTTGAGCCTGTGGCGTTACAGTTATAGATTTGTATCTTGGAAATTGATATTTTGTTTATTCCCAAAATATTTGAAATTGTGTTTTGTATGRTTTGATAAAGTTTTGTTCGAAATTAATATTTTATTGATTTGTGAAATATTTGAGATTATGTTCTGTATGATTTGATAAAATTTGTTTGAGTTTATTTAAATATTTTGAATTGATTTCATATTGAAAGTATGTATTTGTTTAGTATATTTATTTGAAAGATATTTTGATTGATTGATAGGGCTATCYGAATATGTCATTTTTGTTTTGAGGAATATTTTGCTTATTTAGGGTAGTAGCCTAATTTGGAATTGATGAATTTCTCTTATGGCTTATTTTTTGGAAGACACTTTTAGTGGTTTGGCATTCTTTAGAATGAAGATTCATGTGTGTTATTCACTCACGTGGTCTCACACTTAAGTAATCATTCWAATTGTTCTGGTCGATATTATTTCGACAACTCTATTCTGGTCGATATTAATTCTACAACTCTGATTGAAGCTTCTAATTGATYGGTTGGTGTTATCGACGGGTAACCACGTATGTTCTATAGGTTACTCAAATAATGCATCTTTCCACTCTGATATGAAAGTTTTGATTGAACAAAAGTTTGTTTTGAAGAATTTGAAGTTTGATCGAATGAGAGTTTGTTTTGAATCAATGGAACATTGGTTTGAATCATTGAAAGTTTGTTTTGAAAGAGTGAAAGTTTGTTTTGATTGATTGAAAGTTTTGGTCGACTGAAAATTATTYTGTCTTATTTGAAGATTTTATTTTCGAAGGTCTAATTTATTTGAAAGTTTTGAGAGTTGTATTAAATGTTTTATGAGGACTTTTATAAGTTTTGATCSGTTTGTATTTTTGTTTAAGAATTTTTTGAAAGGAAAACGAATTTAAATGTTTGATATGGAAATTGTTTATTGAGTATTTTTGTACTCCTTTTTGTTTTCTAAATGTTTTCAGATGAAGGTTCGAGTGGCTACTTAGATAGTGATTGAGAAGTAGTGTTCTAGCATGAGTTGGAAAATTTTAGTCTTTTCCAATATTTTATTGGTTAAATTWTGAGYCGTTCTTCTAGTTTTTCCTTTGTTGCAGTGTTTAATTTTTTACGCTTCCGCATTTTTGTTAGAATGGCCGTATTAGAAAATACAGGTTGTTACAATAAGGCTCTTATACCATGTGTTGAATTGAGAATTGAAATTGAATAGAGCAAGATCGCAGCTAAAATAGGTTGAGAATGAAAAATAATGAAGAAGAAGAAAGGGAGGAATAGGACACAATGTTTTAAGTGGAAAATTCATAAATAAATTAGGGTAAAAACTACGGGCAATGTTAGAAGAATTCCACYGCAAAAATAGGAGTATTACAAACTTTAATTTCTCTCTTATRGAGAACAAGATCTCTCGTAAGAGGAAATTCTTTCTATTTTTATCTCATAAAGTCTCGCACTTTAGCTCACTTAGAATTGGAAATTTTTTTATAGACTGCCAACCATAGGTGCCCACCKATTTATTGTCCAGACATACGTGCCTTCAAGTAAATTTTTATAACCATAAATTTGCCACATATTAGTTTSAGGCAAAGTGTAAGATCTAGTGGCCTCACTTTTGCCATATATTGGCCTTGGACAAAGTGTAAAATCTGGTAACCATAAATTTACTATCTTGGCCTTGGACAAAGTGTATGATCCAATGGCCATAATTTTGCCACGTCATGGCTTTGGATAAAGTGTTTGATCTAGTAATGGAAGGATCATTGTTGAGCAAGTTAGCAAAATATTTAATATTGTTTAATTAACATATATTACTAAAAAACACCTTGAATAATTTTTTTTAAGTTGAGATTCAAAATTTTCAAATTTGCTACTAAAACCATATCAAAAATAATAAAAATATGAAATACAACTCTTTTTCATTCAAGTATTGTTTTAAGATTCCAAACAAACGTATCCTRAAGGACTCAAGTAAACCGGCCATTGCCTAAAGAATAACTTACCATTTTTTTCTCTTTTTTTTCCCTTTTTTTAGTTCAACAATTTCACGAGTGAGGGATGAAATCATCCCATTTAAAATGGTAACAAGATTCTTATCTACTATGCTTAAATTGACCAGAATAACTTACATAAGCTCATTAGCCATCCATAATAAAATATTATTTTAAAGGGAAAATTGCACAAATCTTCCCCAAGGTATGATTATTGTTACAATTGCACCCCAACTTTTCATTGTAAAAATTAAACCCTCAAGTTTTCATGAGTGAGAAAATTATACACCTAAATTTTTCAACTCTAAAAATTAAATACTCAAACTTTGATGAGTGAAAATATTGTACAAACAGTTTTGAATGGCCAATACTATGATGCTTGCTCCATTCTGGATTGAATTTGCTCCGGCCTTCATCTTTCCAAATTACACACCTAAGTTTTCTAATTATAAAAATTAAACTCTCAAACTTTCATAAGTGAAAAAATTGTAGGTAGATAATTTCGAATGGACATTTCAATACGACAATGCTCTGCTCTGTTCTTGATTGGATCTGCTCCAGCCTTCCCCTCCAATGTCSTCCCCTAAAACTTCTCTCTATTCTCAATTGGATTTGCTCCATTCTCTTTGGGAATGTTTTGATGCTTCGTTTAGATCAATGATCCTTTAAATCAATTTCGGTAAAGGTGAATTCGGTATTTATCAGTGAACAAAATGATGAACTGTACAAGATATCACTGCAGCTCCGATGACAATGAAGGGAATAGTTTTTACAATTGAAAAGTTAGGTGTACAACTTTTTTACTCAGGAAAGTGTGAGGGATTAATTTTTAATTTGGGAGAGCAATTTTTCCACACGTAAACATTTAAAGGTTTAAATTTTACAATTGAAAGTTTGGAATCCAATTGTAACCATCATCATACTATAGGTGTGGTTCGGCAATTTTTCCTAATTTTAATTATCCACCTATACTTTTTAGCTTAATTATAATGTTCATTTGCTAAAATAAATTTTGTTGTTGACTTCATTAATCTTATCATCGAGATCACATGGTATTAACAGCTCCAGAAGAAAACAATACCAGAGAATAAAGTCAAGCGAATGGCATATAATGCACAAAAGTTGCTCCAGAGTCCAGTGTTGTCAAATTAGGCCTAGAAAGTAGATTCTAGAATTAATCTAACCTTTAAAAAATGAAACAAAAGAAACATAAAGAAGGAAATTTCAATTTTTTTAAAAAAAATTTGGCAAGGTAAGTTAATTATTACCATAAACTTTCAATTTCATCACATTGAACCCTATAATTGAATCAATGTTGCAATCTTACCTTTGTTCTAAGAATGGTTTAACTTGATTATTAAATTTTAGTGTGTAACTTCATTGTTTGAAGAATGGTTTAACTTCAWTGTTAATTTTTACTATAAACTTTCGAGAGAATTTCGGAAAGTTAAAATTTTTACCTATAACTTCTTTTGTTGCTTCCTATTGAAATGAGTCAATGCATACAACATAAGGGAAGGAAATTACAATACTTATCAAAGCCTATGGTCCAATTGACTAGTTCTTTATCAAATTCAAGGGTAAGAATTGAATTTTCCCCCTTAAAAAGAGATGGTGTTATTGAAATTGGGAAGTTGATATTACAAGAAACGGTAAAGGGAGAATAAATCAAATACAAGACAGCATCACTTGGAAAACTCAAAATGTCGCAATAAGTTGATTACTGCTTATGAAAAATAGAAACAACTTTTAGGAATTCTTTTTTTTTTTTTTTATTTGTACTGCAAAGGGCACGTTGAAAGAGGAGGCAAGCACCCTCTGAATTTATTACCCTACCCAATAATGGATAATTCAGAAGTCGGTTCTAATCATGAATATCGTAGAATTATTGCATCAGTATCACCGTCAATACCTCCATGTAGGTCCAAAATAACCCTTTGTTTCACAATCTGAGTCAGCATAGAGACTGTATACAAGATGCCAATAGAGATAAATCAACTATACATAATCATTCATCCTATTAAATGAAAAAAAATATTAACCCATTATCTTGATCCTTGGATCCGGAAAATCATCTAATTTGTAAGATTTATCTGGGTAAGATATCACATTGTTGAAGAAACTCTAATGAATGTCTAAGTTGAATGCTAAAAAGAGTTCTGCCAATGATAATATTAACAAGTCTAAGGGGCTAAAGCATCATCTTCTCCAAATCCTTTTGTCAGTGGTAATTCACAATGGAGTGAAATGAAAAAAATTGGTTTCACTAAGTTGTCAAAAAGGTCCAGATTTTCTTTCTGATCGATACTTCATCAGGTTGCACTTCGTCGTACTCATCTTCTTCATCATCAATTTTGCTTCCATCTTCATTTTCATATTCCGATAAACCATTCACTTCATCGACTGTAACCGATTTCTCCGCAGAATCATTATCTACAGCAGTTCTCAGCGATTCAACCTGGTATAGAAATCACCAGGAAATAGTACTCAATAACTAAGAACAAGGCAACCCTGAAGATCAAATAGCAAACATGATTGTTACCTGAACTACTCTATCCTTGGAACTATCCATAGTTCTGACTGTTGTAAGCTGCACCGAGTCAGTTTTTTTTCCATTCCCACCATCAACACTTCTCATCAAAACCTCCCCACTTGGTTCCACTTTATCGTTAGAGGTTCCCTCGTTTTCTTTCTCCACCACTGTCGTCAGGTTTGCTGAAACAGGAGTTGCACTAGCTTCACCTGCACTGCACAAAATTTCCTAAATTTAAGGTGGATATAGAAGTTGAAGACATATAGGCAGACAGGAAGCGTTAAGGTATGTTGGGAGTACTTTCGGCATGACCAAGAGCACTTCGCACTCAAAATCAAAAATCATCTTGGAATTCTTTGTGCGAAAGTAATGGTAGAATATTTTTGGCTCAAATGCTTGACCAAGAAACACACAAAAGCACTTGCAAAATAATATAATATCAAAGTAATCAGTTGATAAGCACTTTCCACTAGATCAATGTCACAAGTTTTAGCTTTTGCAAATGCAGAGCTGCAGATCATAAAAAGAAACAAAGAAACCAACTGGAAGAGCATTGCCAGATTACAGCAAAATATTTTGTTCTTATAATATATGCAGTTAACCGTAAATAAATTTAAAAACTAAAAAATGATTGAATAGATGAAGTGTAAAGCAAGAGGTTGAGAAGACGAAATGTGGGATCAATAGAGCGCAAGAAAGAGAGATCAGGAGGAATATGTTGATGAAAAAACTAGGAAAAGAAAATGCAATATCAAAAATTTATAGGTGATGGCATCGGTTGGCTTTTAGTTAAGTAAGGATATAAATGTTTACCAGCAACTGGACTGCTATAAAACAATTGATCAAATTTTAAAAGATTCATCAAATGTCATTCAGTTTAATTGGTAGGTTAAATGGGTTGTTATCTTTCCTACGATCTCAAGTAAAACACACACCCTTAACTGCAACGTTTCTTCATGCAATGTACCCATATCAAACATCACAATGCAAAATTGCGTCACAGCAGGAAACCAAGAAGTAAACTCAGTCGTGGGAAACTCACATCTTGTGTCGCCTCAGATTATATCGCTTATCTCCTTGTACCTGCACAGGGGCAATCTTTTGCCGCCTTTTACGCTGCCGGCCTGTTGTGATACTATCAGCACATCCTTCGCTATCATCTCCATCCTGCTCACTTCTAGAATCCACTCTGGAAGATTCTGCCAATTGTCGCTTCCTAACATTGCCAGCTCCTTTATTTAAAGAATTTGAATCACTTTTCTGTACAAGCACATCAAGATCTGATTGTCCCGCTGTTTCCCCAAGAAATAATTTTGCATCTTGAACCGTCGCCTTCACAGAGCATGTTCTAGGCAATCCGGATTTCTGTTTTCTCTCACGTTTCTGCCTATCTCTCTTTGGGTCAGTTTGTTTGGAACCTTCTGAAAATCCTTCAAGCTTGCTGTCCAAGTTGCTAAAATCATCAAATATGCGTGCATGTCYATCCTCTGCCACTCTGATGTTATCACTGAATGAAAATATTTGAGCATCAGATGGTTCATTCTCATTACAGAGAGATTGTTGTGGTTCACTAGCAATGTCAGACCTTTTCAGATCGCCAACATAACCACTAGGCTTCTCGTCTTGTAAATCAGTATTGACATGTGCAGCCAACTTCATGGAAACAGGAGGAACAACATGTCCAATTTTCTTAATAGGAGATAGGTCTAAAATCTTTCGGCTGCACCTACTAAGCCAAGACATGCAACCTCCAGAGTCTAAAGAACCAAACTCGGTAGCAACTAATTCTGTTTGTAAAGTTTTTAGAGATTCGACATCTAGCTTTGCTATAGCGTCAGAGTCTCTGAATTCTTCAGGTATTTGGAGGTCAGGAACTATAATTTCCTCAATGGAAACACCACATTTCCCGCAATTCTTATGCTTATCAACAACAGCCAAAAAGGAAACCCTATCCAGAATAAGCTTTTCTCTGTGAATTTTAAGCTCCTTACTTAGCATGTTGAGCTTATCAATGTCTTGATGAATTTCAAGATGGTCCGCTACCAATTGCTTCCTATTCAAGGAAACAACTTCCTTTTCCTTTTCCAATTGATGCCTCTCAGATGATAACTCTTCCGTTTCCTTCTGAGCAATGTCTCTCAAGCAAAAAATTTTGTTGCGCTCTCTCTCTCTCTCTTCTTCAAATGCCAGCTCCCTTTCCTGCCGTTTTATTTCTAGTTCCTCCTGGATCTTCTGCAGGTGATTCTCAAGATCCTTTCTCTGCAATTCTATATCTTGAAGTAGTTGGTTATGCTTATTTTGGGCATGCTCAGATAAGGCCCGTTGCTCATGACTCGTAGTTGAGGCAAAAAATTCTTTTTCTTGATTGACATTCTCCAACTCTCTCTGCATATAAATTAGCATCTCAGTTTTCTCTTTCCTCAGCCTTTCCTCCTCTGTCCGTTGCAAGATCTCAAATTTCTTCCTCTCCTCCACAAGATTTCTTAGTTCATTATGTGTTTCTGCTCTTTTCTCATCTAAGACTTCCCGATCTCTCTCAAATTTTACCCTTTCCTGCTTTAGATCATCATGTTCTTTCATAACTATTTTGTTCTGCAGTCTGTAACTCTCAATTTCCTGCATCAATTGACACTGTAAACGAATGTGCTCTGATCTATCTTCTTTCAGCACCTGCAATTTCTCCCTCTCCTCGTGAATTTGCGGCTGCTTCCGAGTATTTTCAGTCCTTATTTCCTCAATATCATTAATTAGAGACTGTAAGGTCTCTCTACCAGCTAGCGTTTTCAACCTTTCCACCTCCACCTTTTTCTCATCAGCTTTCAAAATCTTATCTTTTGCCTTCAGTGTCTTTAACTTTTGTTCAAGATCACCCTCTTTCTCCTTTGCTCTAAGCATCTTTTTATCCAACGCTTGTTCTTGCTTCACCAACTTTTCTTTCTCATGATTAATTTCAATATCCTTCCGTTTGATTGTGTCTACCTTTGTACTGGCTTCAGTATCCACAGACTGCATTTTTTCTTCCAAATCTAACTCAAACTCTTCTCTCTTCTTCTGTAGGATAACTCTTTGCTCGTCAAGCAGCTGCTGAATCTCCATCTGAAATGGACATCAAAAAGTATGACATAAAGAATTATATACCTTCAATTTCGATTCCATGAGATTCAATTACCATATTTTTCTTCCAACACTCCGTATTTTCCATTTTTATACTGTGAACACTTTAACAGCAATAGTCAACCTTGAATGAAAATTTAAACAGGAAATAATATGCATGAAAATCATCTCTCATATAAAGAACGATACATGAGAAATCTAGACTTGAGAGTACAAGTCCAGTGAGACTTAAAGAGGAATGTTAAAAAAAAGACCAACACAAGGACAAGCATTGCCCGTGCATCCTCTCGTATATCAAATATCTTTAAAGATCAACAAACCCTAGCCAACATGTCACAATATGAAATAAAATTGAAAGATGCTACAAGTAGTCACATTTTTAAAATTCCAAGAAAACACTCACCACAACCGTATGACTTTAGAGTAAAACTTCTAGTCTGCTACCAGGGAAAACAATTTCAATTTTCTATTTCCTTTTCCCTCCCACTCAGTATTTTTAGACTACATCTGCATTCCATGCAAACTAATAAACATTTTGGCAGAAAAACATACATGAGCCCGTTGCATGTCAACAATTTCTAAAGCGGCTAAAATARCATGCCTTCCGACTTACCATTTCTCTCCCACGAAGGTTTTCTTCCATCTGATGTAATTCTTCTTGCTTTTTCTCTAAGAGACTTCTCGTAAAACCAGCTTCCTGCAATCATTTTTGTTGGGGGGTGGGGGGATAAAAGATCATACACATTCCCATTGCAAAAAGAATCAAATAGAAGTGGCTCATTTAATTAGAATTCACCTTCTCTTTTGATTCTACATCTGCCAATTGTCTATTTACACCATCTTCCCTCGCTTTCAAAACAGAACTTGACAGATCAATCTTCTTCTTCATCTCTTCAAGATCCTTCTCTTTCTGCTTCATAATTGTGCCATTTTCACTTACCTTCTGCTCTTTATCATTAAGAAACTCACGACTCTTTCTCAATCTTTCTTCCCATTCCTGCAACTTCTGTTGCCACTTACGTAAGCTTTCTCTTTCTTTATGGGAAGTAGCCTGATGTGCTTCTTTCCTAAAGTAATCATTAAAAATAAATAAGGAAAAAACCAACTTCCTCATGGTGACTAGTGGCATATGCACCAAACTAGGCACATAATTACCTTCTTCTACTGCAATAAAATTTACTAAAAGATCAACATCTAAGAAGTACAAACACTTCGGTTTGGGGTAACGTGTCCGCACGRACACGTGTTGGGCACTCCGACACTCTGATACTCATMGARACACTTGTTAGCTCAATAGATGTGTGTCACACACTAATTGTACACAGTGAATATGGATTCAACACTTATTAGACACGTTTCAAACCATTCTTAAGCATAAAAGATAGACATAAATAGTAATATAGGACAAAACAATAAATTTTCAGARAAACACGTCAAACTCATTTTTTTAAGCATAAAAATGCATAAGCTTATTGACTTTGAGTTTCCTTCCAATATAGTATAAAAGTGATGTATACTTTAAAAAATGGTATATTTAAATAAACRTGTCCGTGTCCAAGATTTTAAAAGAATGACGTGTTACCATGTCCATGTCGTATCGGTGTCTCGTGTCCGTATGCTTGCTTCTTAGATCAACACTCGTCCACTCAACTTTGACTTTAGGGTGCATCCTTCCAGCCCCCAATGTGTGTTTTTTGATTAAATGGTGGGTATCCTTGTGAATATTTTGAAAGTTGCAAATATTAATTTGAAATACATCATTTTTTAAAAATATATATATATATATTACTCACTAGCCAGATCTTGGAAGGAAAGTAATTTTTGAACACTGTGAGTGCCAGGATGTTTGGCAAGCCGCAAGAGGGTTGTTACTGTCTCTAGTTAGGTTTCTATTGCAGAATATTTTTGTAGTTCCCTCTTGGTCCCAATCAACTCCAAAATTCCAAATGAAGAGCTTTCTCATTGTTTAGTTTGGGTGGATAGCTTTCTCATTGTATAGTTTGGGTGAATCATCCTAAACATGCAAACTATCACAATATTGCAAAATTCATTAGCTCCTGGGTAAAAGAAAAGTTTCAATGGCTCATTCATAACCTTGGAAATGCTATATATATATGGCTATATATAGTCCCCAAAATAATTCCTAAAGTAACCTATGGTAAGGGTTGGAACACTCAAGTCCATCAATGCCATAAACAACCTAACCTAAAAAGTAAATGGAAAGTCTTAAAACTGAAAATACATGAAAAGGCACTATAAATTCGAAAATGGGAGTTTTTAATCATCCAACCAAGAGTTTGGAAAGTTTGTAACCATCCAAGAGTATATGAAGCTTTGAACTTAAGTTCCACCATCTTGAATGAAGCTAATGAAGCTTAAGTTGCATTTGTGTTCATTGGTATGAGTAATACATTCCGGTTCATATCACCCGTCTTAACTAACAATAATTATTATCAATAAAGATCTCTCTTCTAGAGGACACACCCCATTTCATTTAGCCACAAGAGCAATGTTCTATTCTTCAAATTACCTAGGCCAAGACCCTTCTTGTTTGTTCTAGAGAGACTTTTCCAAACTGACTTCCTTCTTCTATACCATTCTTTGCCTAAAGGAAGTTTCTAAGTTTTTTCTCCAAGGAGAAATKTTGCCTTCTAGTAGAAAAATGGTATACACCCAAAGTGGGTAAAACAGACAAATTTGCTATTTGGAGGATCATTGGATTGGAAGTGAACCCCAAAAACCACTTTCCAAGACTTATCAGGGTCGTTTGCTCCAATGACTTTTTGATTCAGCAATGTTGGGATGAGGAAATTAAAGGCTGGGACCTGAAATTTAGAAGAAATCTCAGAAAAAATTGAGGCTAGCGAAYGGCGCCAYCTTTCTCACCTCCTCTGTAGTTGTGTAATATTCATGCAAAAGGATTCCAAAGTTTGGTCCCTACAGAGTGATGGTTGCTATTATGTGAAGTCAGCCACCTTAAATTTGTCAGCCAAAAATGTCGTCTTAAATCCAGCCACCATAAATTGCATCTGGAAGTCTAAACTGCCAAAGAAAGTCAAGGTTTTAATCTGGATTTAGGCGGAAAGCAAGCTCAACATAAATGGAAAACTTCAATGAAGGATGCCAAATTTCTTTTTCTCCCCCAGGTGGCATGTTCTTTGCAAAAAGGACCTTGAGAGTCATGGTCGCTTATTCCTCCAGTGCTAGTATGCCTTTACTCTTCGGGCAAAGCTTTTCAACACCTTAAAGGTGAGCTGGTGCTTTCCTTTTTGTCACGAGGAGTCCCTGATCCAGCTCTTGCTTGGTTCAAACTTCAAAGCTAGACACCCATGCTAGTATTCTGTCGAAAAATGCATTGTTGGCTATTCTATGGCATTTTTTCTTTCTGGGATAAGAAACAGTATATTGATTGTGTTCTTCCTGGGCTTCTCCTAGTCCTAACAAAGCTTTTTGTAATTATAGTATTTCTCAAATCTTTGCCAATTGGGAAGCTTTTTTGTAATTCCTTGGCTGTGGGGATATCTCATCTCCCCCTCTTTTGTACCTACTCTTTGATAATGAAATTTTAGTTTCTTATCAAAAAAAAAAAAATAATAGTATATTGATTGTGACAAGAAGGTGAAAACAGTTTGGCTAGAATGGAATAAAAGAATCTTCAAAGGAGATAGAAAACTTTTAGGATGTGATCAAGCTTCATTCTTCTTGGCATCTTCTCTCTAAAGCTTTTGTAACTATAATCTTTTTCATATTCTTGCCAATTGGGAAGCTCTTGTTGTAATCCCTTTGCTCTTACGGGATAGCTCATCTCCCTCTTATTGTATACACCTTTTGGAATCAATATATTTCTCTGTTTCGTCTAAAAAAATATTCTCAGCATAGATCCTAAGTAAAATATAAGCTGCAGTGCTTTGTAAGACGGACTGCACTAACATTAATCAATAAGCAGGAGCTTAGCAAGGTCCATACTTCATCCTTCAAGGTTTCAACGGGATGGAATAAACAGAATAGATTTCCTTCCCGTAAATTGCTACAAGGCAACTTCCCCATATCGACCCTTTGAATTGGATAAGGCTTGAAATAAAATTAACGTCAAGTAAGGAGAAGACTTCCGTTGACAACATCGTCAATGGAAGTCTTCTCCTTTGA